GACATTGCTAGTAATGATATCATGTACTGAACGTCTGCCCAAGCACCGGCCTCCAGCAGCGCTGGCCCCTCGCACAGACAAGGAAACTGAGGTCTGGAGGAGGTGAACACCTACATCTCTGACTGAGGTGTGCTCTAGTTCACCTTGTAGGGAATGCCCTCATGAGAGCACCACTGCTGGTCAGCAAGCTGAAGTGCCATTGCTCCTGCCTTCCTTGTACTACCTGAGTCTGATCTTCACTCTGAGAATTTTCTGTTACCTGCGTGGAAACCTTGAAAAGGTGAGGTACAAATGCACAGATCCCTAAGCTGCAGTTCAGCCCCGCTGGAGCTCTGTGAAGGCTTGCGAGACACAGGTCCCTGTGCTGTTGCTTTAGGTTGGCTTACATGTGGGCATGGCTGGTGAAAGGGGATTAGGATGGAAGCACAGCCCAACACCCACAGCTGTACTTAGGCATTCTTCCCATTCTCACTGCCGCAGAACAGGAAATGAGAAGATGTCCCCTGAACATCCCGGGGTGCTTGTGGCTGGCTGGTGTCCAGGCTATGGCTCTGAGGGCTCACCCTGGGGTGGGCTCACGGAGGGGCAGCCAGCCACACAGGGACAGAAAGGGAGACGGAGGCTTATTTGTCTCACCTCCCTCACAGGAAGCTCAGTGAATCACCACCCGAGTAGTCTCCCTTCAGTTACTGGTTTGCGTGTTCATCTGTGTGTGTGCATGCGTGAGTGGTTGCACTTATAGTTACATACAAATATCCAGCTCTTGATGGAAAATGAGCACACTTCAGGTGTGGCAGTTTTGAGAAGGACAGTATGTGGCTAGAGCTCTGTCATTGCCACTGACCTTGACAGAGTGGCCTCTCCAGTCCATGTCTCAGTTCCCACAACTGTTCAATGGGCCTAAGATCCCCCTGTAGCCTCTTCTCAGGAAGGTGACAGCCTGTGCAGAAGCCCATTGTCAACCACCATGCACCTGACAAGTGTCACATGGCACCAGGGACTTTTAGGGCTTGGGGTGGGCTCAGGGCAGGAGCTGAATCTCAGGGGCCAGCAGGGCTTGCCTGGGTCCCAGCAGGTCGTGTACGTGGGGTGATATGTAGGGGGAACCTGCCCTGCCATCTCTTCTCACCTTAAGATACCTGTCCTCCCACACACAGGCCGCCCACGCACCCAGGGCACTCAGGTGAGCTGCACGGCTGCCAAAGAAAATGATTTTCTAATCAGAACGTGGAGGTGAAAGTCACTTCCTGGTGATGCCAGGTCTTTATGGTGGCTTTCTTTTACAAAGAGCCTAAGTTTACTCAGAGACCAACCTGCTCCTTGCTAAGGAAAACACTTTGCTAAAACCAGACCCAGGTTGGGGGCAGCTGTAATTCACAAAGCTCTGTGTGTGTATTTACTGTTGCAAACCAAGAACCCAAAACTTCTAAAAATGAGGACAATTTGTCAGGAGGTTCAATGGGCACAAGCCTCCCGCTCCCTGCCGAGGGCATGGGCGGGGGGTGAAGGTGCTCTGTGACATCCTGCCGAATGCTCTCCCTGTACCTGCCGAGACCACAACTGAGCACAAAACCTGAGCACAGGCTGGAAGTAAGGAGCTGTTCTGTTTTGGCCCAAGTTCAGAATTTTAATTCTTTGTCTTAGTTTATTTTAAAATAAATGCAACTAGGGTTTTAAAAAGGTTTATGTATGTGTGTCTAAAATTCCTGTAAGCCTAAGCTAAAAATGTCTAGAATATATGCGTAGGGACTGCAGAATCTGTGAAAGGATATCCTAAAGGTAGAAAAGGGGGATCCCCCATCCCATGATCATGAAATCAAAGGTCAGGCACCACGGCTTTGCACTGATGATGCATCGCACTGGGAGTGTCCTAGGACAAGACATGACGAAGGAGAAGGTGTCTAACTGTGGCCAACCAAAGCCCAAGTGAGGTCAGCATAGCTTCACTGCGAGAGCTCATTGCCTTTAATGGCAATCGTTTTCTCCAGGGCCAAGGTCCATTACTGACATGGTTAAAACTCTACATCAGGCCAGGGTCTGTAGGTGAACGGCCTCCAGAGGGGGAAAAGGAAACCCTGGCTGGGACCAAGGCTCCCAAGCACAGTCCGGTCATGCTGGAGACTAGGTGCAGGCTGTACTTCAGTGCTGATTTCTTTAGGAATCCTAGCCAGATCCAAGAGAAGAAAGTTCTCTCAGAACCATAGTTCACGTGAGGAAGAGTTCTCACCAAAAGCTTGCTCTAGTTTGCACAGTTTTATTTGTTTTTGTTTGCTTCTGGCCCAAAGCCTCAATGTCAGGGACTCCCTAAGTGCTATGTGAGGTAGGCTGGAAGGAGGTGTGTGAAGGGCCGTCCAGGACAGCACTAGTGCTCCGTCACACAACCTCCTCTGCCTCCTCAGGGCTCCCTCTCCCATGGGCTCCTGCTTCACTCTGAGCCTCTGAGCTCTGCCTTCTATATCAGGCAGACCAGGGGCCGCACAAAGAAGTATGCCTGAGTTTGAATAAGATTCATGGACACATTACATTTTAATAATTCTTAGTTTACACATTGTACACAATCAGACACAAAATTACTGATTTCTTTTTGAAACTATCCCAAAATTGCTGCTCTGGATAAAAACTGAGCAAATGTCCCCTCAGGAAGTCTACGGGCTAGGCTTTACCTGGCAAAATTGATTTTGTCCATCACCAAGAATGTCCTGCTAATGGCCAACTATAAAAATTCAGTGTTGGAAATGACAAGAGGAAAATTTCCAGAAAAGTAGCTGATGTGTTATTGAGACTCTTGTGAGGTCATTGGGACCCGCTTCCTAATATGTAAGTAGACAGGGTTGTAAGTAGAGCGTGTTGTGCTGTACAACCAAGAGTGACTTCACTCTCTTCCTCAGGCAAGGTGCTATGGCTGGAATTGACCAAAACCTTTACAAAGGAATGTAAGTGATAATACAGTGCAAAGACACATGCTAAGGGAAGCAGCTGTAGGAGGCAGAGGGCTGGGTCCAGGCTCCTCTGCTTGGGAAAGTAGCTCAAAAGACCTGACTAACAACAAAAGTGATGGATGGAGGCTCACCAATGGAAAGGTTAAAGGAAAATATACGAAGATTTGTGACTTTACTCATTTGAGAAAGACATATCGACAAATAAGAATTGGTTGTTTAAACATTAGTCTCTCTCTAAAAGACATTGGATGGAAATTCTTAGAGTTGAAGCTGCATTGGCAAAAATGGATCATTTCAGGAAATTAGTCAAGTTTAGATTTTCAAGTCAAGCAACATGGAAGTTATTTGTAAAGACAAGCTTAGAAATATGTGTGTCATTTAAATCAACCCAAATCAGGCAAAGCCATCTGCCCCCTGCATTCATTACACAGCCTTCCCTCCAGGAAGAGGGCAAGAAAGGCGCTGACCTGTCCATCTTGACCCCGAGTGCCCAAGAGTAGACCGCCTCCCTCTGAGGATGGTGAGCACATCAGCACTCAAGAAAAGACGAGAGGAGAAGAGAAGAGCGCGTGGAAACTGCAGACTTTCACAGCAACATCAAGTCTAAGCCCAGCGTTAAGGGATGCAAAACAGTGAGGATGACCCCACCAGAAAAATGGCCTGGTCCTGGGGGTCCTGAGACACTAGGGTCAGAAGCGACAGGAGATGAAAGCAACACAAAGGCCATTTTTCTTGCTTGCCCCTGGCCTGGTGGAACTGAGATGAAGCACTCCTCGTCAAGAAAGTCAAGGGCATGCTGCACACGCCGATGTGTTGGCCAAGATCCAAGTGCAGGTGAGCCGCGTTCGACCAGGAGAGAAATGTGGTTGAAGCCACGACAAGAAGACACCTGACAAAGGGAGCCGAGCTGATGTTGCTAAGGCTGTCGCTTTGGGGTTCTAGAGCTATTTGTCCACTGGGCACTGCTTTGGATGACAGTACAGACTACAGCCCTCTGCTGAACAACATCCATGAAGAAAAGTCCAAGAGTCCGGGGACGGGAGGCTAGTTCAGGAAGTCACTGAACATGAGCAGGTGATCTATGGCACTAGGGCCCTGGGCAGGGGTCCTGCAAGAAATGACATGGTGTGAGGCAGAGCCCTGCACTCAGGGCAACCCCTGGCCTGTGGTCATGGGACTGGGGTGGGGGTGGGCGGGATGGGTGGAAGAGGAATCAAATATGGGTCTTCCTTGCGTGGATATTAAAACCTTTTCCCCAGCAAATGAAAGCCAAGCAATTTGAGACGATGACTGCTCTATTCAATGAGGAAAAAGACTGTTCAGGGGACACTTGGCTCTCATCACGCTGTGTGTCTGTCCAGTCTTGCCCTCCTTCCTTACACACACCCACCTGAAAGCCTAACTAGAGCGACAGGGTTTTAATGTTCTTTGTGTGACTCCAAAGCCTGCCTAGGATTGTGTGGTACACACATCCAGAGGAAGGGAACCCCAGGCTGCTGGTGTGGATGGAGGTCATGTTTTGCCAGGATTATACTTGCAAGCGTCAGGCACAGAGGAGAGGGAGGGACAATTTTAGAAGGTGTGCGTGTCTGTGTGTGCAGCTGAACTGAGTTATCACTGGCCTGAGCGGTGTTAGTGACTAAGACCACAGGGCATTAAGGGACAGACTGTCATCTTGGTGGACTTTTGTCTTTAGTTCTGTTTAAGTCTGGATGTTTTGAAGAATTACGTTGACTTCTGATTTTAATAGCTTAATTTTGATTTTAAAAACGACAACCATATCCTAAAGGTCTGAGTAAGCGTCAGGTTTTCCTTGGAGACATCTGAAGAGAAAATACCTATGTCTTTGGAACCTGCAGGTAGGAAGGATGCAGCAGGAAGGAACTAGAGGAAAATGTGTGGGAACTGACTGGAGGGGCAGCTGAACCCCGAGGCCCCCTCCTGCATGCTAAGCCAGGCACCCAAGTCACAGGCGACTCTCCCTTCAAGGACACTTTTCCCATTTCTGTGAACTACTGGGTAAGTAGGCTGCTAGAACCACTGCCGCCGAGGCTTGCTTACTTGAGCTCTTGAGAACTGGTGGCCAGCACGCTTCGGATGCTTTTGTCCGCCAGAGGGCAGCCAGACAGACTGTAAGACAGGCCAGGAGAGCCAGTGAGAGAACCCCCAGGCAGCGGGCCCACCCGCACGAACACAACACAGAGTCGAAATTAAAAACTCAATGCAGAAGAGCAATGGTGCAAGTGCTGTATATTGAATTTTTGGTATAGTTCACTCTAAGTATGTCCAAGTGTAGGTTCAAGAAAACACTTCTGTGAACCAGCAGTTTCTTATAAGAGAAGATAAACTGTGCTCTTTGGCTTATGCATCTGAGAAGAACGATGCACGGTTGAGTGGTTTAGTGGTGGAAGTCGTCATACGACACCTAAACAAGTTTTTGAAGGTCAACATACAGCACTTAAGGGTTGACACAGAATTCAACATTTTTACTTTGACGGCATTGTTGAGGTAAGCTGAAAACAATAAATTGGAAAGACAGAATCCACCATGAAAAAAACGAAGTCACACCTTCTGTGTGAGACGTAATTACCGGTCACATGACCACTCCCATCACACCCTGGAGTTGGACATCTGCCACCAAACAAAAACAAAAACAGCCAGAATAGTAAGTATGTTTACAAAAAATAAACTTTGTAAAAAGTTTCATTGTTTCCAGTTTAGCTGCAATGTCTGCAAGGGGACTTGAGCACCCTGGAGAAAGCTGAAAATGCAGGGGTTAATGAAATGGTGCCACACAGTAGAGCCCCATGGAGAACGAGCAGGTGCGGTGGCCTCTCGTCTACCCAGCTGGCAGCCTGAGGCGTCAGTGTGCATGCTCAAAGGGCAAGGCATATACAGGTCCGGTCTTCCAAATAAGCAAGGAACGGGAGAATTAAGAAGACCGTAACGTCACCTCGTGCTATGCTTACGTTATTAAGTCCTTTTTGCTCTCCTTGCACTGGGGGTACTTGGGTTTGGGGCTTGGGATGGTCACCTCCCCCGGATACCTTCGTTCTTCCAGAGCTTCCTGGAATGGGTCCAAGTCTTCAGGCTGCAGACAAAACACAAGCTCAGAGCCACAGTGCTAACACACGGCGTCAGCCAAAGAAGGCTCCCACGGCTACAGGGTTGCCTCCCCTGCTTTTCTGCCTCTTCTACATGTGAAATCTCAACGTGTCTTTGTCCCAATCACACCCTGATGAAAACCAAACTGGATGTCCAACCTCTGTTCTAAACTTCTGAGACTACCATAACCTGCCAGCCACTGGGGCTCTGATTCAGTCTCCCAAGCTCGCAATGGGACAATAGATGGTTTCACAGCCCAAGAGACCACTCTGACTTTCCTCATCCAGTGTCCAGTGACACCTGTGGGCGCTGAGTCATAGGGACACCTTACTCAACGCTAACCTGCAAAGAACAACTCTACAACTAAGGGTTTCACAGCAGAGCCTTAACTTAAGTCTGGGGCCTTGCCTAAAGGTGCCAGCAGATCAGCTATGTTAAGTCGCAATCTTAAATTATTCTTGGGCGCATCTCCTTTTTTACACAAAGTACCTGTTTTTGGTGTGTCTACTTGCAGTAACCTGGAAATTCCTGTAGAGGTCAGTGTTCAGCAGGTGTGTGTCCTAGGTCCACCTACACACTACAAGGCAAGGTCTTACCTCAAGGAGGGCTTAATTCTAATTAAAAATAAACCCAGGAATTCAACTACCATATTCCTTTTGGTAGTAGCGACTTAATACTGCAGCACAGGAAAAAGTACTTAAAAATTTAGTTTGCCACTCAGATTTGATTGTCCTTTTACAAATGCCTGGATACTTAAATCAAAACGGGCTTACAGGCAGGTGTCTCCTCGCCAATCCCTTCAAGGGGCCAATGTTTCTTTTCCACATCCTATTTCTGTAAGAGCCTAATGCCTTGATGGAGGTCTCCTTATTCCACTCAAGTTTTCCTTTTCGTGGTGAATAAAGATGCCATAATTTTCAGACTTGAACACCGAAGAAAAGTTCAACAGTCCTCTCCATTTTTATGCCCAAGACGAATTATATCTACTTTAATAACCTGAATTTGGAAATTAGGACCGATTAAAATATGTTTGCGACACAGGTGTTTTAGCAACATTGCGGCAAACAAGGATTTAGGTTATCATGAGGATAATTTAGTCAAATCTGGAGCAAAATCGCAAGAATACATGTTTCTTAGAGAAGAGATATGGTCCTTCCAAAGAGCTAACCTGTTAGTAGCACACGAGTAAGCATTCAAGTACTTTTTACTTTATCTTAGAAGACAGGGTCTTGCTGTTCAGCCCAGGTTGGCCTGGAACTATTGGAGTTCCTGCATCTGCCTTCCAAGTGCTGGGATTATAGGAGAGCCCCATTATGCCTGATAATTTAAGCCTTTAAGATTTACAATCCACTACCAACAAAGAGAACCCTGAATTGTTTTCTTTGAAAATGAACTGGTACGCTGTTTGTACATCTTCCTAGAGAAATCATTTGTAACAAAACACACTCGTTGAAAAATAAAATTTAAGAGTTAATAGTTTGTGTCACTCAAATCAGTGTCAGTCACACATCTTATCTGGATCTAAGTCTTTGTCAGCTAAAGGTCAGACATTTTCTTGTGCAGTATGGGCCCCCTCTTAGCTCCCCAAGGAACATGGGTGGGACAGGGGCAGTACATACAGTAATCTCTTTGGGGTCGTCCTCGTCTATCCTCCGGGGCTTCATCTTGGTGTAGTCTACTGGCAGGTCCCAGCAGTCCCCCTCACTCAGCTGGAAACACCGGTTACCCATCACTGCCTGCTGCTGTGGGGACATGGGTTCCAGGGGCGTCAGAACCGGGCAGCAGCTGTCCCGCGGCCTCTGCTTGTTCATGCTGAGGTCCAGGGTACCGTTCTCATCCACATCCATGTCAGGGTTCTGTTGGCAGAGAAACACATAACCTGGCTGGCCCTACCACCTCACCACACTATCCGTTCTCCCAAACTGCCGTCTCACCTTCATCCAGGTCACATTCTCCCCAAAATCCCTCACTGCTGTCTCACTGACAAAAACTCCCAAGGTGAACTGACCAGGTCTGTTGGCACATATCTACTACCCCAGGCTTACCTGCAAAATTGCTTGTAAAAGTCATCCATCCATCCATTTTTCCACCCACCCATCCATCCAACCATCCATCTATCCATCCACCTACACAACCATCTGTCCATCCACCATCCATCCATATAAATAACCATCAATCTGTCCATCCATCCACCCTTTCGCCCACCCGCCCATCCATCCACCCATCTGCCCATCCATCCATCCACTCACCCATCCATCCAACTATCCACCCATCCACCCACCCATCCAACTATCCATCCATCCACCCATCCATCCATCCAGCTATCCACCCATCCAACCATCCATCCATCCATCCATCCACCCACCTACCCACCCATCCACCCACCCAACCATCCATCTATCCATCCTTCTATCCATCCATCCATCCACCCACTCAACCATTCATCCTTCCCTACATCCACCCACTCAACCATTCATCCATCCATCCAATCACTCATCCATCCATCCATCCGTCTCCCACTTGTTAGTCTCTCTTTTCTTTCTCTCTCCTCCCCCACAGTTTATCTCTGACTTTAGAAATAAACTTGGCCAGAAGAAATTCAAATAAGTGCTTAGTTTTGATTTCATTCCAGTTCAAATACCTACAAGATGAAAAATATGTGTGTGAATGTGTGTGTGTGTATACATATAGATAAGCTTAAATTTTTTCCTTTAGTTTCACTGACACCAATAATTCAAGAATTAGAGAGGAGAAGCTGGGGTGTAGCTCAGTGGTAGAATGCTTGCTTAGTGTACACAAGGCCCCGAGTTCTAGCTCCTGCACCACAAAACACATGAACAAACAAACAAGAAAAGAGTTAGAGAGGAGGAAAAGGAAAGACCTGGAAGTTGAGGAATAGATTAGAATTTTCTTTCCAACACGGACTCCACTGTTGAGGGAATACCCACTTTAAGAGAGGTGCAAAGGCCTTTGCTGCAGGGCTTCTGGCCCGACCTGCTGTGGGTGCCCTCACGCCTGCGACTCAGCTAAGCGCTTCAACAGGGAAGCCAGAGGTACAAGGCGACACTATACAAGATACAGTGATGCTTTCAAACAGGTCAAGCTCTTCAGAGTTTGCCCCGTGGGAGGACAGAGAGCAAGAAACATCAGGATGCCCCAATAATTCCCCATTTTTTCCTCAAAGAGTTATAGTCTCTTGGGCAAAAATTTGACCTTAGAGTTGGAGTGAGGCTGTCAGCTCTAATGTCCAGAAGGGCCTCCCGCTGGGCGTCACCATAGGAGGAGGGAAAAGGGCCGAGAATCCCATTTGAGGCTGTTCCCTTGATTCATTTTATAGTATCATTCTTCCTGAACTATGTCAAGTGCACTACTTATTTCATGCTTTGATAAGACCACATGATACTGAAGTTATTCTTAGTGTCAGTATAATTTTAAGAAAGTTTTAAAAAAAGAGGGGGAGGGGAACAGGTTTCTGTGCTTTGGTCTTGCCACAAGGAATCTCTTGCCTCTTAGCTTTGCTTTCAGCAGCCCTTGTCACCATGAAAACTGCATGCCCCTGAAGCTGCTCCCCTAGCTAGGAATAAAATATCAAAAGAAAGCATTTGCAAACTCAAGATTACCAACCTTTCTGTACTCACACAAATTACAATATTCACAACAACTACTGTCAGTGTTGGGAACTCGAGGTGCATGCCCATCTGAGAGCACATAGCTGCTCTCTGACTCTCCTGGCTCCCTCTGGCCATCTAGTGGTCTGGGCCAGGCAGCTCTGTCCCTTTCCTGCTCTCAATACCCACAAGGAAGAGACTGGTAAGACCCTACACAGTTATAATCCCCATATGAAGACTGTAAGGCCCCAATTCAAATTGCTGAACCTACTCCATTTTGTAAAGGACTCCACCTTGTCTGGCAGGAAGGCTGTTTTACAGAAACTGTTTTGAATTCACATGGAACCCCACTTGCATCTTGTTGACAACATACATGCCCTCATGATGTCACAGAAAGGACTGCACAAGCTGTGCTACAAAACTGACCACCCCAGCCATCTGTGGAACAGCTAGCTGGACTGAAAAACCAAATGTCAACAGTATATCCTTTCTACTCTGGGCTGATACCTCTTAGTGTCGGCACTCTTTGCTTGAAAAGTGATAAAAATTTGCTTCTGCTTCAATTCTTGCTTTTCTGTGAAATCTTTCACACCCTGGGAGCCAGCCCACGGGCGAGGGGACAGCCACGGGCGAGGGGACAGCCACGGGCGAGGGGACAGCCATGGGCGAGGGGACAGCCATGGGCGAGGGGAGAGCCCGCGTTTATTCCACAGCAGAGCTGCAAACCGTCCCGCATTTCACCTCGGGGTGCACTGCCCTTTAGTTTTGCATTCTCTGCACGCTCATTTGAGAGCCATAAAGATGGTGCGATGTCCTCTGCCTACCCCAATGACTCTGGATCCTAAACAGGAGGAGGTCTGCGAGCGCCTCCTCACTTAGCATCCTCCCCATCATGACGCTCCCGGGCCACCAGGCGCTCCCGCAGCGAGCGCTGCGCGGAGGGCGCGGGCACCAGGCCGGCCCGTGACCTTGGCCCCGAGGCGTACCCGCGCTGCACACAGGTCCTGCGGCTTGGTGGACAGGTTCTGCGGCATCTCGCGGCAGCGCGTGGACAGGTTGAGGATGGCCGTGGCCGCCATGTGGGCCGCCTCCATGTCGTGCGTGTAGTCGAAGCTGCTCTTGCTGCACGTGCTGCTGGCGCTGCTGCCGCCGCCGCAGCTCAGGTTGCTGCTGCTGCTCGGCGCGTAGCTGCTGGTGGTGCTGCTGCTGGGGCTGGCGTTCTTGCAGTACCGCTTGGCTACAGGGACACACGACAGACAGCACGACTCAAGCCCCGCGCCCGGGACCGGCCACCAGCCCACCCGTCCCGCCACCCGCCCGCATTTACACACACAGCGACCGGGAGCATGAAGAAAGACCCCGCACCTCCCTCCCCCTTTAACACTGTGCATGTCTGAGTGGGCAGAGAACTGGGGTGCCTTGGACAGGATGCATCCTGTCTTCCATTGGCTGCTCCTGAGTGCTGGTCCTTTGAAGGACAGACACACCTGGCTAGGCTACTTGAAGTGAGTGGCTCATTTGGAACTAGGACATCACCCATGGGTCAAGAGATTGCCCACTCCTTCCAGCCAGGAGGGCGTGACTGCCACCTGGGATTCAGTGATCCAGGTGCCAGTGACCTAGATTCAGCAGGGTCTGAGAGAGGACCTGCAGGGACTGTGGGGACCCTGTGCTTTGAGAGGTGGGTTTTTGGATGCAGACCCACAGGCCAGACAATGGGACCCAAACACCTCTTATCCTATAGGGCCCAGGAGTGAAAGAAGGGTGCACATCAGCCCAGGGTGGTGTTAGACACCACAGGGCCCAGCAGTGCAGTGCAGGGCTGGGTTTCCTCCCCATTCCTTCATGTCAATAGCCTCCTGTGTGCTCGCAGGGGACTTCCCTTCCAGGCCTGTTGCTCAGCACCCAAGGGTATTTTTTTTAGAGGTGTTTAAATTTCTCTTTTAGCACATGAATGAGAAAATATCAGTAGGAGAGGCCTTCTTCATTAATACAGTGTTACTGCCTGGTTAGGGTGTTCCACCTGGAGTCCAGCAGAGTGAGGAGTTACCCAACGGTGCCCCCTGAGTGTCCGAATGCCCTTGCAAAGTCTGACTTGCCAATGTCCTGACTCTGGCCCCTCCTTTGAGACACTCTTCTTCCTATGCTCCTCTCCCCTTGTGAGCAGGGGCAGGCTGGGTCACTGTGCCAAGGGCTGCCCAGTCCCCACTGGAGAGCACCATGCTGGTGGTTCTGATGGAAGCTATGGCAGTGGCTCTGGCTGTGAGGGGACCCTGGGAGGTCACTGCTTTCCTGGTTGTGATCCATGAAGTCACTAGCAGCCCTGTCCCTCAGCCTGACCTCAGCTTTCCTCCAAAAAGGAAGAAGAACAAACAGCCAGCAAACCTCACATGGACTTTATGATCTATGTGAAGAAATTGCCCCAAACACTTAAAGGAAAAACAGAACGAAGCACTCATCGCTGGCCACCTGTGTGTGCAAAAAGGCTGTACTCTCAGGATATTAAGCAGAGGAACACCACACGTTGCAAGCTGAGGTCACCCCAGACCACACAGAGGTGACCACAGCCCGGGATGAGAATCGACCGCCTGTTCTCATCTCAGACCCCACTAAAAAGGATGAAGCAAACCCCGCAAACAAATGACCACTTCCATCTGGTTGCCTCAGTGGACCAGAGGCTCAGTTCCCACACACATAGTACATGACATGACATGATCCACTTGCTGACAGCATTGTTGTACTGGGTTAACTGGCCTCAGAGCAGATGAGGGACCAACTCCTACACAGGTGGGGCGAGCAGTCAGTGAGGCCAGTGGCTACTGGTGCCCGTCCACCTTCTCCTTTCTCGATGCCCTTACGGAAATGGCAGACCTGAATAGCACAGTGTGGATAGTGGCCAAAAGCCCAAGGAAAGACACTGTGCAGTGAGGAGCAGAACAGAGGGACACAGCAGAGGCTCATGGGGCCTGCCAGTGGGCATGGGAGGCCCTGGGAGGCCAGGCCACACTGTGTCATTGCCCATGGTATTTTGGGACTCAGGTTGTGGACTGAAGTTTATAATTCTACATCATGTAAAATCTTGTTATAAAACAGGAGCATGGACACTGTGGAGACTTAACCAGGCTGCTGTGGCTCATGCCTGGAATCCTCGCTACTTGGAAGAATGCAACTGGGAGGACTGCAGTACAAGGCCCAGTGAGGCAAAAAGTTTGCCAAACTCCATCCGTACCAGCATCATAGTGTGCACCTGTCATCCCAAGCTACATAGAGGCAAGAACGGGAAGCTGCCGTTCCAGGGCAACCTGGACGACAAAGTTCAAGAGACCCCATCTCAGTGAAAAAAATGCTGGGTGAGGTCGCATGTGCCAATCGTCCCGTGATGGCAAGAAGCCTAAAATAGGAGGATCGAGGTCCAGGCTGACCTGGGCAAAAAGCAAGACCCTATCTGAAAAATAACCAGAGCAAAAAGGGCTGAAAGTGTGACCCAAGCGGTAGAGCACCTGCTTAGTAAGTATGAAGCCCTGAGTTCAAACCCCAGTCCTGTCAAAAGAAAATTAAGTAACACATATGGGGATTTGTCTTTTTTTTTTTTAAAGGCAGAGTTTTGCTATGTAGCCAGCCTGGCCTCAAACTTGAGATACTCCTGCCTCAGCTCTGGGATTACAGCTATGTGCAGCCATGCCTGGCCATTTTTTGTTTTTTTAAGCTGGTGAAGCCTCACCACTTGGTTCAGGAGAAAAACTGATTTCTGAAAAAAATGAAAGCAACCACTTGGGTCTGTGGAACAGTGTGGCTGGCACAGGTGTATGGTGCCCCTCTCAGCACTGGTGAGGGATGCTACTTGGGTGTGTGTGGGTGCACTGATGATTATAGTGGCTGGCTCCTGTAGTGTCCCTTCTCACAGTGACTGCCCCAGGCTGGGCCTGTGGGACTGTCCAGCAGGATGACATCTAGCCCTCCAACTCCTATAAGACACTGTTGTGTGCCCACCACAGAGATGCAGAAACCACTCTGCCTCAGGGTAAGAAGGATGTGGAGAGGGCCTGGCTGCAGCCGGGGAGGTGGGTTGCCTGGTGTGTCTAGCATTTGACATGTTAAAAATGCTACCGCCATGGACAAGTTCACTGAAATGAATTTTTTAAATGGCTGTAGTTCTTTCTCTCATATTAGGATCACTTTAAGTTGCCTTTAAGTTATAAATTGTAAACTTGGTGGTGTATCTATGTTCCCACCTGTTGAAGACACAGATGCTGTACCTGCAGTAGGACAAGTGGACAGAGCACAATTTTAACAAACTGTCAGTAACTCCTCAAGGAGTTATCTCTTAACCCACACTGCTATCGACCAGGGTATTTACCTCCATCTCCGTCCTAGAACTAAGTATAAAGACCATTTTTTAAATTCAAAATCAAAGAGTGTCTCAACTGTAAATCCCTCAGGAAGGCAAGTCCTCCGTGCTGATAATATTGCCTGTTTGTAACGCACACAATGCTGCTACAACTTGTACTATTTGGACTGCACTTAGCATGGCTCTGGGCCGTGGTGCTGAGGTCACGGGTGATGCAGGATGGGGTACATCCAGCAGAGAGTCTGTCACCCTCCTCCCTAGGTCAGAGCGCAGTTCACCAGTCCCATAACACAGTGCATTTTCTTTGCTGTATTTTAAGTGAAATTGTGTTTCCATCCATGAGTAGGAAGCGTTTGCTGCATTCTCAGATGACGTACTCTCTGAGGGGTGTGATGGCTTTTCCTGTGGAGGCCACCAGTGTTTGACAGCCCTGGCAGCCACAGAGGGCCACCTCTCCCAGTACCCTGTCCCTGGCTGCAGGAAGCAGGACGCCATTACAGACCCCTAGGATTAAACATGGTTGAAACCGACTGAAAACCCAAAGTCAGAACAAACACACAACTTCCAGAACTTCCCATCAGCCTCTCTGCTTCTGAAATCTGTACTGCATTCATGTCTCATTCTCCCAGCAAGGCCTGTTTGCTCAGGCATTAGCAACTTCCTGCACATAACATAAATACATCATTACAATCCAGGGTTTTCATGAGGACCAGCTAGACAAGACTACCAGGGTAAGATTCCCTCCGTGAACGTGGCTGTGTTCACTGGGGCGTGGGTCACCTCGAGGCCTGCTTAGTCTATACCACTTCCGATGTCCTAATGCCTACAGAGCTCACCACAGCAAGCTGAAAAGTGGATGCAGATTTGGACATGGAACCAAAGGCGCCTTCTTATGGGAGAGACTGTTGGATAAGGTCTGCAGAGCAGCTGGTGCACTCACGGGGTCTTGATTTCTGTCTCTCAACCAGAATTCCCTCAGCATAGCGACTGCCTGCTGGGTCTGTCCTGTATTGCAGGGTTTGGTGACCCACCAGGAGCTTATAGTCTGGGGGAAGACGAGACGTTCACAGGTGAAATGAGCCAGGGATGAGACACAGAGCTCCCCAATGGGCTGCAGAGATTGGCAAGGTGTCTACCTAGACTGTCTGCAAGAGGGTGAGGACATGCCGCTGCAGCAGGCTGGGAGGCTTTGAGAAGGCAGCTAACGAGGCTCCCTGGGAGCTACACCAGGAAAATGGGGCAGGAGAGAGGCCGAGGGAAGGCTTCCAGCCAGAAGGAAGGGTGACCAGCCCCAGAGGGGACAGGGAAACCCCTCTAGAGGATTAATGTGTAGGACTTGGCTGGTTGGCTTCAGGGCTGGTACGTGAGGCTGGACCAGGTGAGGGGGAAGGGCAGGAGAGTGGGGTGGAACTTGTGGAGTGTAAAAAGAGGAGCTTTGATGATCAAAGGGCTAAGCTTGGAGAATTTGGAAGCTGGGACCAGCCAAAGGGAAGAGCTGGGGAGGAGTCCACTGCGGGCTGGGGATTCTGGGAATTTGAACAAACCCGAGGGTGGTGAGGTCCTGCTGGGAGGAGTGACCAGAGCTACTTATACCCACATCAGAGCCTTTTCCTGTAGAGGGTCCAGTGGTAAATGGTTGAGACTCTGAGGACCGAGTGGTCTCCATTGTGGCTACATGGCTCTGTGGTTGTCCTGGATGGTACCCCAGACCACAGGTGAGTAGTTTTGGTTGTGGTCAAAAACTATGGTCATGGAGAGTGAAATTTCATACTGTGTTGCATGTCATAAGAGTTTCTCCCTCTGTTTTTTGATTCAAACATTTTAAAATGTAAAGGTCATTCTTTTTTTCCTGGTAGTACTGGGGTTTGAACTCAGGGCCTAGCAGGCATTCTACCACTTGAGTCATTTACAGTCCTTTTGCTTTTTAGTTTGTGTTTCAGACACAGTCTTGCACTTTTGCCCGTGGCTATCTCAGACTTTGATCTCACCACCTCTGCCTCTGGAGATGGTGGGATTGCAAGGGTGCGTAACCATCCCTGGGTTGTTTTTGAAGTAGGGTCTTGCTAACTTGGCCCTAGATGGCCTTGAATCATGGCCGTCTATCTCTACCTGCAGAGTAGCTGGGTTTACAGAAGTACACTACCATTCATGGCCTTTAAAACCTATTCTTAGTGCTGGAGGCATGGATCAAGCTGTAGAGCACCTGCCTAGCGAGCATGAAACCCTGAATTCAAACCTCAGTACCTCCACAACAAAAAAGCCATTCTTAGTTACTATTTAACAGGCAAAGGAGATGGGATCCATTTACCATGGGCTGGTCTGTCACCCTGCCATCCCCTCCACTGCACCCCATGCACTTCCTCCCAGCCTCCCCAGGCCACCGGCTGTCCTCACAAACCCTGGGTGTCCATGCTTCCTATCATTCTGCTCCAACTTCAGGACCGAGCTCACCCACTTCCTCAGGCAGAATGCACCCCTGCTTCCCTGTGCATTAGTGCATTCCATGGTCTTCTTTGAAAACTTCTACCAGAAGGAAAGACCAGAACGACTGACACACGGACAGACAGTGAGCCACTATGCAGTGTGGGGGAGACAGGCAGTTGGAGAAAGATTTGCTGACTGCAAAGGAAGTTGGTTTTTTTTTTTTTTGGTGGTACTTGGACTTGAAGTCAGGACCTCATGCTAAGAGGCTGGCTTTGGCCACAGCTGGGGTGGTTTAGGGACAACATCCAACACGACTGCATTCTGCATCTCTAGGTCCTGCCTATGTTCCCCAAGGATTGCAAGTTTAGGGCAGGCTTGACTCTGGTTCTGAGAAGGGGCAGTGGCACTTCTGGTTCTGAGAAGTGCAGCTGAAGTGAGGCTTGAGAAGACTCAGGAAGTCCTGCTGCACAGTCACCTGTAGCCAGGACCCACCACCTGGTGCTAAGGTACAGGGATGGCTCCCCTGGGCCACATGCCCTTCACATCCCTGACCCAGCAATCTCGTCCTCTGTGGACCCTTCCTGATCTTTCTGAAACCTGTCAAAGGAGTGTAGTGGAACAGAGCTGAGTTTCCACCTGTTTTCTCAGTTAAGTGTGTCAGAACGCAACTCCTTTTGTGTTCTGAAGTCCTAACGCTGAGGTTTAATTGTGCGTGAACAACAGATTCTTCCTTTCTGCGGATTAATGAAAAGTGTGGCTCAGCCTAACTTTCTAAAACAGATATTCTGCACCAGACAACTGTAGCAGGAAATATCTATTTTGGTTCCCTTCTCTGGGTTGACAAAGAGCAATGTAACCCCATGTCATCTCCACTGACCCTCACAAAGCCCTTCCCTTCTCTCCAGAAGCAAGTGCACAGAAAGGCCCCTATGTCCAGAGTCCTGCACTTACACCTGGAAGGGCTGAGTGGCCTGAGCAGACTCACTTCCAGCCCACGGAAGGGCATGCACCCCGAAACACGCTCTTCTGCCTCCACCCTCCTTAGCCATTTGGGCTAAGCCCGGGGACCAACCATGGCGATAAGGTTAAAGACATCAGGCCACATAACCAACACAAAACAGGTGTCTAAAAGCAAACAGCTAGTTAAAGAGTTCATGATGGCAATGGGTTGGAAACTACACCAAGAGAAACTTCAATTACACACACGCAATTTCTTTCTCATACTTCTCTTGCAACTGGAGGGAAGAAATTACAACAAGACCTGAAATTGGTAATTATTGCCCAATAAACAAAAGAGAAAAACAATCACCTCTATTATACCTTACAGCTGTTCCCTTTTTCATTTGTGTGTGTTTCTGAATATTAAAGAATTGACATGCAAGGATAACTAATATGATATTCCACAGAATTATTCAATTTCACTCACAATACATAACCTGGCTTAGAAAGATGCACAACTCCTACTGAATCGAGAAAAGGTTTCCAAACACCTCCAAAATGTTCAATTTAGACATTTTTCTCCACGTGTGTGTGTTTTTAGTTAAATATTCTCTTCAGAGGGAGCTCTAAGTATTTCAAAGCCATCCCTTCCCCCTGTAGAGAGAAGGTGAGACTTTTAAGATGTCAGGTGACATTGGTTCTAGGAGGACAGCAAGTGACCAGTGACATTGGGGCCACACGGTGCACACAGAGGCTGCTGTTCCTCCCACCTGCGCCTCCAGGTAGAGAAGGGACATAGAGAAGGGCTTGCAAAGAGGACAGCCACGTAGAGTAGTCAGTGCGCTGTGCTCAGACAACCTGGGAAGGTTTTCAGAAACACTGATGCAAAGAGAATCCCCAGGGATCCTGGATTAGGATTCGAGGAAAACCACCTCCCCAGTGATTCAGGTGTGGTGAGCACTGAGCTTCTCACGGAAGTGCGAGCTGGTCTCTCTGCCTGACCTGTCTTGGGCCCTCTATTTAAAGTTTTCTGGACGAGGGTGCTGTCTCACGCACACCATGACGCTTGGGGAGCTGGGGCTTCCCTCTGTACGCTCTGAAATCATTGCGGAAAACCACGCCCCTCCTTCCCACGGGTTTTGCCCACCTGCCCTTCGTGGACCTGAGAGCTCTCAGCATGTGGGCCCACGGTGCCGTGCCCTTGGCACCCACTGAGTGAGCCCAGCTGGGCTGGTTTTCAGGACACGGACACACATGACAACAACATAGCAATGGCAATGGGTCTCTCACGTATAAGAGTGTGCACCTCCTACCATCGTCATATCCTTTGGGGGATATATCCCTGGTTTGCACCTTGGGAGCTATGGCTCTCTTGCCATAAGTATGGTTGTCGTAACTGCTGTACTCAAATGAAGTCTTGGAGTATTTCTCAAGCTCCTTGGCCAGGTTGGAGCGTGGCGTGGTGGTGGGGACATTGTTTCTGTAGCCATACTGAGGAATCTCCAGCTGCTTTACAAAGCACATTGGCCTGGAAGGAGAGAACAGACAACAGCTTGGCCTTCTGATGACCACACGTGTGGCATGATTCATAGCCATCTCACACGCCTTATTTCCCACATGGGTCAAGGAATCAGGACTTTTCCCGAGCAAAGAGGAAGTGTGCCCCAAAGACAGTATTACCTAAGAGTCAACACTGAAAACAACCAGAAATAAAACACGTAAAATGTCCTGTTTCCTTTGCTTTTGCTCTTAGGAGGACTGGTGGGGATGATGAGGAGATGAGGTAGGAAAATGAGGAAGAATCAGACATATGGGCATTCTGTTTGCACAGGCTACAAAGGTGATGTGAGTTGATAAGAAATTCCCCTTAAAAATAAGAGGAAATACAGAAATACTCTTAGAGATACAGCCTGAGATAGAAGTAGACCAAACTGTTCCTAGTAGACAATAAAATGGGAAGGCAGTAAAACATTTTGCCTTGGATTTATATATCCCGTCAGGATTTTCATCTATTAGTCATTATTTGAGACTTGGGGATAAAATATTCCAATGGAAGAACACTGAGTTATTATCGGGTCACTGATGCCCTGTCTCGTTTTGGGTGTGTATGTGTCTGTGGATGGATAAGTATCTATAAATGGAATTTTTAGACTTTTTATTGAAATTATTTTAGACTTATAAAGAAGTAGTACAGCAGATGCCCCTCTCCTTTCCCTAACTTTCATTTTGTAGAGTAGGTGCAGACGTGTATTTGAAGCGGAATTAGCTTTTTCTTCCTTACATTTCTTTTGGCAAAACACTTAGAGCAATGCTTATAGGCACTCCCGCATAGCCATCACTTCAGAGTGTAACCATTGCAAAAAACTGTATTTCTAGGCACAGACTTACCCGGTTCCTCTTTCGGATCCATGCAAAATGCTCAGGAAATAGAGACCATGAAGGGTGGGAAGAAACAACGTGCAGTGAGTCTATAACACGTGTGTGTCCGTGTTAGGGTCACACTTCTTTTGAGTGGACCCCATTTCTCCACCAGGGCTATCAGAGCTGGAAGTATTGACTGAGCAGATGTGTGGCATTAGAACCCCGGCAGGTGCAAACAGGCAAAGGCCAAGTGACTCGGTGTGGGCACCTGGGGAGGTGACCAGGTTTGCTGCCCTGTCCCTGTTAGTGTGTCTGGGTGAATGCTACCTCTCACGAGCCTGTCTTTCTAAAGGATGCAACTGTTTGAGCACACAGATCATGTATCTTCACCCCAGGGTTAAAAACTTTAAAACTACTGTCTTGTGTTCTATGGCTACTAAATACTAAATAATTCATTGAAAAAATATTTAGAATATACAAAAATCACCTGTAGTTCTTTCAAAGACTAAAATCTGTTAAGGTTCTGGTGTATTTTTTCTGATTGATTTAATATTTAATTATTAATATTTATCTCGTAGTTAAATTTTTACACATTTCACACTTTATTTTATATAGCATTTAGTTCTCCTCTGTGTTAAAAGCAATTCTTAGGAACTACGTGGTGTTAAATCAATGGATGTCATACTTCTTTCCCAGCTTTTAGACGAGTCTGCTATTGTAATTGAAAGTTAGTGTGCACCCACAGAGCACAATCTATTTCTTACCTTGTTTCACACATTTATTTTGTTTTTTAGAGTAGTTACAAAGTTTTGATGACTGGATTTTTGGAAAAGGAAACATAAGCCAGCTTTCTTATGTTACTTAGTAGCACATCCATGCCACCCCATCATGTCTTAGTGTGGCAAAACACCCATTATTCACCAAATTACCAACCTATTTATTTTGTTTTCACTAATGTAGATGATATAACAATTGATTGGCTGACTGTTTTGGGTGTTTATCAGGCGGTGCGGGGGTTCACAGGTAAATAAAGGTCTAGTCTCTGCCTTGCCAGGTCTCATGGGGTGGGAGCATGTATAATCCCAGTGCTATGAGGTTCTGTGGAGGCAGGCATGTGGGGTCAGATAGGTTGCAAAGGAGAAGGTAGCATTTGAAGCGGATATTGCAGAACAGGCAAAGATTTAAGGCTAGGATCTCGGGTGAGGTGAGGGAACATTCCAGATAAACAAAAACGCTGACAGTCTCAAGGAGAGGAGGAAGGGAAGCTAGTGTACCTTCGGGATCGGGCCAACTCATTCACCTGCAGGCCAGGCCAGTGGTTTGGGGTGGCAGAAATGCCATCCCTAAGCCTTGGAGAGGTTGGGACCAGACCAGAGGGAAGGAGGGGTGGGCAGGTTCAGGAAAGGAAGTGAGGGCTGTGGGAGGCTGCAGGAGACGGGGTGCAGGAGTTGGGATTATAAAGTCTGACAAGACTGGACTGAAAGTTGTTCTAAAGTCTTAAGTTCCTGTTGGACAATTTCCTTAAAAACTTTTTTTAACCTTAACCTCTGAAGTGACTGTAGGCTTAGAATTTCCTCTCTCTCCTTCTTCCCATCTCTTTTCTTACCTCACAGAATGTGCACCCCTACATGGAGACATGGAAAACACAGAGGTGCTTAGCAGACCCATCTTGCAGGTGTCCACACCTGGCCCCCCAGGTGAGCCTGTGGAATTGGAGAGCAGGTAGAAGTCCTGGAGGCCAGGTCCTGTGCCCCCTAGGGGAGCCAGGGCTGTAGTGCGAGTCAGTCTCCATGGCCTAGACTGGCTCCTAGGCCATCCTGACTAGCTGGAGTGGGTCTTCTTTCTGTCTGTCTGTCAGTCTCCATGGCCAGTCTGGCTCTCCATACCAGCCAGAGGCAGACTGCCTGTCCATGCACAGTTACTGGTCCACAGCCCTCTGGTTGGGATTGGGTACAGCTTTCTATCCTATCAGCTGGGTTGGAGCTTCAGTCACAAAGCCACAGGAGAACAGAGGCTTGGGTTTGAACACAGTGAGACTCCCAATGGCAGCACAGCCATTGGCCCCAGCCTGGCTTCTCGCTAAAGCCCAGCTCAGCTGACTATCAAAGCAGACCCACACCTGTGTGGGCAGCTGTCACCTAGCGACCTCAGGAAGGGCCATGCACAGGGTTCTTTCTAGCTTTCAAGGTGTCTGGCCAAAGTAGGCAGAAGGAAATTAATTTCCTATACCTGCAAATTTCTCTTCAGCATTTTTTAACATTTCCATTGGTTCACAGTCACCCTATCGTGAATTACATAGCCTCAAGGTCATTTTTAGGGGGGCAGGAGGGTTCTCGGACTGCCAGTAACTACCTGTGGGTGGGGAGGAGAGGGAGAAACTCCTGCAATTTGCTTAGTGTTCAGTCTTATTACCTAAAATGAGGGTGCTACAGTGAGGTAGAGACCATGAGAGATACTAACACCCATGCAAAAAAATACCTACATTTATTGAGGGACAATCTTAGAATCGTGGGATCATAGATGCTCTTATTTTTTGCTTAGTTAAATATTTCTAATTTTCTATAATATTTTAACTTTTCCACTGAAGGAGAAAGGCAATTTAATTACAAACAGCAGAAGCCTGTTAGAAAACTGTGAAGTAATGCACAAGGGCCAAGAAGATTTTCACATCCCTTCCTTGCGATTTTCTCCAAGTGATTTACACCAAAGAAACAATTTAGGAGAAGCCAAGTGTTCTCTGTATGGGGAAATTGTACGGCACTCTTGTTTAGCCTGAATACTGTGAGGTGGTGATGACATGTGGCTGTTAGAATGACAATTAGGAGACGTATACAGAGACAAGGACACGTGGCTCTGATGTGACGTTGAGTGGAAAGACAGAATATGCAATGATAGTCACAGATGTATATGTATCTATGTATGTCTCTAGATAGATACAGATATACCTCATGTCGCATACGTATCAGTCCCATGTGCAGTGGACAAGGCCTCAAAGGCCATGTAGGAGTGAAGGCGTATGTAGCGCAGTGGGTCTGTGTACTTTCTTCTCTGCCTCCTGCCCCAATAATCATCCTCCCCAAACTCAATGCTCCCCAGGCTGTTTCCACTCCACATGCAGCAGTTAAGTAAGACCACGTCTGTCACCGAGCCCCGGCACACTGGGTGTCTTTCTTGTCAAGTGGAGAGGTGCCACCTACTCCCTCCCACACCGCGGGAAGCCTGAGGGTGAAAGGAGATGGCAGCTTTGACATATAAGGCTCCAAGGTGGTATCATCACTGTCGTAATTTCAGACCGGTAACTCCATCCTGTAAGTCCTGCTCCACAGTGGGACACAACTACTTTGGATGTCTTACTCATTTTTAAAGCTTCTCTCATCTAACACACACAGAATTATGTACTATTAAGGCCGGAGAGGAAGCCGGACGTAATTGTGCACAATTCTCTCACTTAAAGTGTCAGGTTGGGGGCACTGGGGACCTGGGAGGTGAGCTGGCCTCCAGCTCCCACACGGTCCTGCCTGTGTCCAGCCTGGACATCCCCTCCCTCCTGTCACTAGGTGAGCACATCCAACTCCTGGAGTGTCCTGAGCGCTCTGCGGCACCATGGGTGTGGGTCGTAGATGAACCTCATGCATGACACGCTCCTGTTTGGGTACCTGAGGACTCGGTCCGAGGCCTGGTTGGACTTGGGCACATCACAGCTCTGGTGCTTTTCTTGGGCCTTGGCCAATTTCTCTGCTGCAGCAATAGGGCATCCAGACAGGCTGCAATTACAGAAAGGGAATTTTAATTGTCTGGTCTCAAATGGCTTCACAACACACTGACACCACCACTTCAGACAGCCAAGAGGAGCCAGAGCGGGATGGAGCTGGCGGAGCTTCCCGGCCCGTCCTGGGCAGTCCTGACAGGGAGCACTGGTGGAATTGGTGAGGACAATCGTGCATCTGGTTGCACCCTTTCTTCTTGTTTCTGGCGGCACTGTGTGGAAAGTGTGCTCACCCTTTTCAGGGAGAGCAAGCCAAGCTCCAAGAATTCAAGAGAGCACGAACTAGTTAGGATTCCAGACAGAGCTTGTTTCCATTCTGGGATGCTCAGCATTTCTGGAGATGAGGCAGTAGCAGCTCCAGTTCCTGAAGGATGAATTTTGGAGTGGAAAGGAATGAATGGGTTGGGCCATAAGATGGAGTGCTGACCAGATTCCCTGAACAGGATCGACTTGTAGGGCTTTGGCTGTCTATCTGACTTGGCACTCTTATGTTCTCTACTAGAAGAAAAACAAAATCAAGGAAGGGCACAGAATTGCTTCCAGGACTGCAGTCAAGTGTACTTTAAAAACTCTATAGGTTAACATGGAAGAGAAACAGCTATATTGTTCCTCATGAAACCATGGCGTCTACAATGCACTTCTCTGTGGAAGTCTCAGATATGTGCAGACATCACCCAGGCCCACCATCAAACGGTGCTCAGCATGGACCTCTGCCACTTCCTCCTCCTGCAGAGTAAGTGCCAGAAAATCTCTGATGGGCACAGAGTTATTAGTTTCATCATAAACTTAGCATACGCAGCCAAGTGTACCAGTGAGCCAAGCAAACTTGAAGGGCATGCATGATCTCCTCCATTTAGATACAACTTCACGTGAGTGTGTGAAACTGAAACCACACACCGTAGCACAGATTTTAGCAGCATCGTTGTTCTGCTACTGAAAGAGAAGGTACCTGATAGCAACAGACTATCATGAGGAACTAGGATCTCTCATAAAAACCTGGAGAGGACAGGAAAAACAAAACAAAACAAAACTGGGATCTGTCACAAACTGAAGTGTGATTCTTATTATGTGTATTTACAGCCATTGTCCAGTACAAATTATTCACCTGGTGCTCCAGCCTCCCAAATTCACCCCCACCAGCACTTTTGGACACCTCAAACCCTTTAATGATGTCCATACTGATGGTTTGGGGTTTTTCAAGGGCAGCCAGGTGAAGTCGTGCATGGTACATACGGCTGGATGGCTGGATTCTAGTTCTTTTGTGGTCCTGCATGGTAAAGTGAGATACTCTGGTTTGTGTGTGTGTGTGTGTGACAGAGCCCTGTCTCACCCTGTCTAGTTCTTGTGAGTCATCATGGTTTCCATTTTACATGCTGTACCAAGGCAGGTACCTTGTGAGGAGCTGGTGGCCCTGCGACAGGGTGGGAAAGGCAACTAATATAACCCAATCTGCAAAAAAGGGCATTAGGCCATTGACCTCCCCAGGCACCATGGGACCAGACTCTGTTCTTTAGAAGCAATAGCTGAGGGCCATCTGTCTCCATAGAAGGAAGGGACGGAGCTCCTGTGGGGTGGGGATGTGGGAGGTTCCCTCCAGTGTAGAGTCCAGCTGTGCATGGCTTACCTTCTGTGAGAGTTCCTGTTGCTGTTCACGTGCCCTCGCCCTGTGCAGCCCGGAGTGGGACACTTGAGCACATTCTCATGCATGGCCAGAACTTGACGGGAGAGCAGAGAAAACAGCTAGCATTAAAACGGAGAAATGGCCAGGAGACAAGAAAGCGCAATCATTTCAACACAGGCTCGACTGGTTTATGACAGACAATCCTACAAACGTCTGCGATGGGCATGGTCAGGAAAACACATGAAGGAAGAGATAGAAGGCTGTCTCGACTGTGCTCTGATTAGCACGCAAAGCAGGTGCACTGGTGGGAGCTGCAGGGATGGGACAGGGAAGCAGTGCCTCCCATGTCTGTGTCTCCCATAGGTTAGCACTAGACACAGATCAGCCCTGTATTGCACGGAGCCTGGGTGTTTGAAAAACACGCCTGTGCTCTGGATTCCACAGGATTATGAAAGCAAGACAGGGATGAATGAATAGTAGAAATGCAAACCTTATTTTTTGAGTAAAATGAATTAAAATCTCTTTCTGTTTAGGATATAAGCACTTCATTGTTCTTTAAAAAGAATGAGCTGTAATAGTTAGAGCTATGCATTTTTTTTACCATGTGAAATTGACAGGTGGGAAGGACACAGAAATGATTTCTGGGGCATCACCAGGAGAGAACTGTGTACACCAACCAGCACTGGGAATCCCTGGCTGGGTTTCATGTCCTCTTTTCTGGCCCTTAGCGACCACTCCGCTACTCTGGGTCTGGGGCTGCTTGTGGGGTGAGGGCTGCTGGGGGAAGTCAAGGCAGCAGGAAGCTTTGCTCCTCCAAGCTGGCTCTCTGAAAATGCTTGGGGACATGGAGGAAGCTCCCTGACAGCACAGTTTACCTCAGGCCCAGGTGGCCATGCCAGGGCTGCTCCAAGCAAGGTGTGCCAACACCTGTGATATCTCTGTATTTTTTGTAAGTCTCCTCAAAAGCAGTCTCCCTCTCTCCCGCTGAAGTCTGCAGGCTTGCTGGCACTGCAGTCTGTGGCATTTGAGTTCATGTCTTATGTCCTTATCACAGTCTCTTCTTTAAAAGCAGATTCCACCATGATTTTTGTCTTTATAGCTCACATAGCAATTGCCTTGCCCTTAAATAAAGCTGATGCTTTAGAAATACTGATTAAAGCATTGAGAAGACAGTCTTCAGCTCATTTCCTGTGGAGAATCTGTCATAGGAGGTCACTTTCAGAGGGTCTAGGCACAGGTCCATCTTAGAGGAAGAAGTGCCCCTCTCGATCTAGTAAGCTCCTCAGTCTGCAGTCTTACCTGCCCTCTTCTCTTTCCCTCAGGACCTCAGCTGAACTTCCTCCTTCATGAACAGCACACGGGCACCTCCCTGACACACCTGCCCTTTCACCTTAATACACACATTTACTTCCCTTTAGGTTAAATTTTTTTCTAAACGTAAAATATTCCCTGGAGACAACGAGCACCCTTTAGGCTTGGCTGTGGCACACCTCTCACACTGACATGTCTGCCTCCTGCTAGGTGGAGAGAGACCTGGCACGGACCACACCTGCCACGGCGACTACCTGCTCCCTGTTTGTGGGCCACCTCTGCAGCTTCAGAGCTGGCTCGGCCCCTCACCACTCTTTCCACAACCTTCTCTGCGGCACGGATGGGAGGCTTCAGTCAGCACACCCAGTGGCCCTTCTTTCCTCTTGGGCATCATTTTCATACTCGGGCCTTTTCCAGAAATGCTGTCTCTTCGTGTTTTCCTGGTCCCCTCGGGCTTCTCCTCTAGCTGCTTCCCCTCCTCTGCCTCCCTTTCCTGCACACTTAGGGCTAGGCTTCTGTTTTTGGCTCCTTTCACTCTTGCCATTCAGTCTTGGTTTCTAATCATACCACTCAGAGGGTACCTTAGACCATACCACACTGACTCCCAGTGGCCAGCCTCCCCAAACCCGCCGGGAGCAACATGCAGCAAGTTAAAGGGAAAAGGACACAGCATGCCCTCCCCTACCAAATGCAGCCCTGTTTCTGAGTTTCCTACCTCTATGCCTCCTCACATGCACTCACGGAGGCATCAGCTCCATTTCCCTGCTCTCCACTCGTGCCATGCACATGCGGTGGACGGGACATCCTGCCAGCCTGTCTTTGTGATGGCCCCTCCCCCCACCTCTCTCACTGCCACTGCCTTTTCTCTGCCCTGATCTTCATGGACTCTGATGGCAGCCTCCAGGAAGAGCTGTGGATCCCTTCTCTGCCACACAGGACAGCTGGGACACCTCCTCAGGGCAGCCCAGAGTGCTGGGAACTGTGACCCGGATGTACCACAGTCCTGCACACATGGCCAGGTAGGCATGCACTGATGGAGACCCTGCCAGGCTTAGGCTGGGAGCTCCTTCAGTGGTGCCCTCTACAAGCCCAACTGTGAGTGGCAACACCTCCCCTGCATTCAACTGGACAAAACTGATGTGGGGAAGCCAGTCCAGAAAAATAAAACCGCAAATGATCACTATGGGAACCTTCATCTTTTGCAAACATTTTTCCTGGTATTTTAAGGAACTCCCTATGATCAAATCCCTAGAGATGCTCTTGTGCTGTGGAGTGTTTGTAAGGCGAGGTCCACCTGCTTCCTCCCCTCCTCAGGGGGCACCACTGGACTGAGCAGAGCAGGGGCAGGTCTGTACCATGCTCAGCTGCTCAGGCACAGTCCATGTTCCTAGCACATCTAGATGGTTCCTGTGAAAATACGGAGTCAGGAGAAGTCTCACTTTCTGCCTTGAAGGCAAAAATCTATTCCCTGAAGAAAAATCACACACACACATTTTTTCTCCCTTGCACACTAGCTCTAGATCCTAAAGTCACATTTTGTACAGAGAAGGTAAACACGCCTGGCACCACGTAGGTAGTTAGGACTGAAGTGGGAACTTGAAGCCCAGGTTTCAGAGGGGACATGGGCATGGGGGTCAGAGTGGACTGATTTACAGCTTAATAGCCCAGTTATGTATTCAGGCCAGTTGGTACCTGCTCAGCTCAGCTTTAAAAGAACACGGAGAGGACCCTCAGTTGCCAACCTCTGTGCAACCCCTGAAAGAGAAGGGTGAGGGAGACCCCGACTCCTCATCTGAAAGACAGGACCCACCCTACCCTGCAGGGTTTATGGGCATTGAATGGATTAGTGCGAGCCAAGCACCCCACCCACACCGTGCTCACACGGGGAAGCCGCCTGTAAACCATGCGTCTCCCTGTCATGTAACACACGGGATTTTACACACACCTGAATTCATTTATTTGCACAACTCTTCACACTTGTTCTCAAGACAGCTACAGGAAACATGAGCTTATTATTTTCAGTTGCCCTTTGAAAACCTGGAGACACAATAGTTTCTAAAAAGATGTTACCTGAGAGGTTCAGCTACACCTGCTTTCTACGGCTCTGATGCTACCAAGAGCTGTTCTTCATTCTGACAGATATGGCCTCTCTGAGATTTCAAGGCTGCCCATTTTTGAAGGACTCTACTTGAAATTCCTTTAAATGATCAACTGGTGTGGTCTTGCCATGTGGGCAGCTGGCTCTCTCACTGGAAGCTGAGGGGGAGGCATTTTGCTTACTTATGGAATGGCAAACTCACATGCTCATTTCTGAAAATGTGCAGAACAGCCCATTCTAGCTGACTTTGTATAGGTGACATACTTCATTGTCAAGAGAAAGCTAAACCAAAACAGGTATGTATCAATTTGTTCCTAAAAGAAATTAATTTTTCATAGATTTATTCCATATTATCAGAACCTAACCACTAAAAAATATGTAAAATCAAATCCGCCTGAGTTAAACCTCCTTTCTTAAAATCTTCAGCGTGGAAATGCCAGGACCACTGTGCTACGAACCAGACCGTGCGAGCAGAATCAATGGCTCCTCTGCTCTGAATGCTGAGTGGGTGAGAGGCAGCAGGCCAGACACTTGGGCAGGAGTCAGAGCAGGTCAGCGCTGGATGAGATGTCTGCAAGACTGCCTAGTTCAGTTCTTTAGCTTGTTCTGTGCCCTGCCTGAGGTCACAGGACCAGAGTCTCCTTCCAGGGGCAAGGCCTATTCTCCAGGGCCAGCCTAGCTCGCAGCAAGGACCCAGAAAACCCGGGGTTGAGGGTGGAGGTGTCAGCCCCACTCATTCTGTGGGCTGCCCGTCAGGGTCAGGGGCGCTTCTCAGCTCTGGCTGCACTGCGTAGTGTGATGGACATGAAGGTCAGGGAGGGATGACAGACAGATCCGTAGTGCCGCCCGCCGTGGGGAGCGGCAAGACGTGGACTTACTTTCTGGAGGGACCCTATCTTTGTGCGGGCATCCAGACAGACTGCGGTGATGCGGGTAAAGCCCAGTTACATGGCCGGTTCCATCACACCCGGGGGTTGGACACTTGCTCTCTTTCTTTTCTGTTCTCGAGGGATCTAAAAGCGACAACAGGTGTCAAGAGAATGAAGGTTTACCAGCAGAAGACAAAGGTGGTTATTCAGCAATCTGAAGAGACCTTTGCTAAACAAAGAAATAAGGCAGGTGTCAGGGACAAGCGGGACATCAGACTTTCGCTTAGGTAGCTTTTAGGTTTGCGTGGTTCTTTTTCAACCTTATACAGTGTAATCGTCAATCAGGAAGTTTTCAGTTTTATCCTAAAGAAAAAAAACAAGTCTATCCCTAACCTTAACTCTTAATTGGTTTCCCGTGTGTTACATGATAAGCTGTGTTGCTCAAAGAAATTAATGTGAGTAGTGATGAGACAGTGACCTTCTTAGAGCACAAAACTCCATACCATCATCATTCAGCAATTTCTCTGTGAAATTCAACCAAAATCCCTTCAGCGGAATCCCTTCTTACCCAAAGTTCTGGTCGCACCCACCATAAGCTGTAAAATTTTATTGCCATTGGACTTGATTGACTTAAGCCACACTGTTTCTTGGCACAAATAATTCAGTGCTTTTTGGAAAAGAAGCTGAACTCTCAGAAGGCACTGTAAGCAAATGACCAGAAGGGTGGAAGTCCCACCTGGCAGAGGCGATGAACAATCAAAAATGCTTCAGAAGCCGCTGGAGCAACCATTGGGTTTGATTTCTTCGTCTGTACTTGGAACCAGAGGAAGGCTCGGGTACTGCTGTGCGTGCATGCACAGGGTTAAGAGGTAATGCGTGTCTAGGGCCCTGTCGGCATCTCTCAGGACCAGTCAAGGCCGATCAGAGCAGACGTCTGGTCCACAACTTAGTGCTAGATACCAGAAATGTAGCGATATTGCTAATGAAACCATTTCCACACCCAGAACTGACCACAGCTCACAATCATGCAGTGTAACAACTCCAGGAAGTACTTCTGAGGCCTGGCTCAGACCGAGCACTAAGTCAAAGTGTGTGACAATGGATTTTCAAGCTAGGTTTTGAAAACCAGTTGCTCAGATCACCAATAGGCAGTGGTTGTTTTGGTTTAGCCCAGAGAATGTTAGAGTTTTCTTTAGGGGTTTAATTCTTTTACATGGGTCTCGTTCATCAGGCCAATCATGATTGTTAGAAAACACATGTCTTACTTTTGGCTAAGAATTCACTGATATAAAGGAAAAAAAAATCTGAGTTTTTGAAGGTTTTGAGCTCTTACATACTTTCTTCTTAAGTCATTTATGAGAGTATGAAAGAGACGGGGCTTCTGGGAATTTTTAAATGCTGCTGTGTTCACATGAAAGGCACTCCCTGTCCTTTTTTATTCTACCCAAGGTGACTGTCAGGCCCTGGGACCTTTCGGCTAGCACTGGTGAGGAGGTGTCCTACACCCCATTATCAGCACTGTCCTTTAGAGCACACAGGTCCCAGGCTCCAAAAACAAGCCTGGGGTTATGTGGTGTTCCTCAGTTTCTGATACCTTCACATGTCAACTAAATGACTAGCATGTTGTTGACTTTTGAGGAATTTCATAATAATATTTGTAAAATTTAATCAATGTCTTTATGGAATAGCAAGTGCATAGTAAAACTTTCAAAGGAAAGTACTGATTATTTAAAACCACAAGCTAGCAGTTGAGAGATTGTCAACTAGATTCAAATGCCTTGTGAAGGATAAAAAAGCGAGGTATGACCTTATTTTTCATTAGTTGATGATTTCATCAGGATATTATGATTTCTTACAAATTACGTTATTTCACATATTTGGAAAGTGTTTTTGGAATTAAGTGAAGATTTTTATAAAAACAACGTGGCTCAAAAGAATTTCAGGTTTTGTAATCTCCTCTCGATGTTGAAATCCTGGTTGAGATGGGGTTGGCCTTCCCTCTGTGTTTTCTTATTTCCTGCAATTTCAATTTTTTCTTTTGAGAAAATATTTAAGGAAACACAAAAAAACTAATCAAGCAGAGACCAACAGTTTAAACAAAAACCTTGCAGCAACTTACAGAAAAAAATTGTCTATGGGTTTGTCTTGTCCCCTTCAGTCCCTGTGAAGGTGTGGGAGGCAGGGGACTCCTCTCCTATCAGCTCACGATTTTGGAAATGTCACTCATCAATCCTTTAAATTGGTTGGAATATTGTGGCGAATGAAAATGGACACAGTGCCACCTACTCTTTGCTGCAGGAGCTGAGCCTGGTGACTGGCTGAGTAGATTCTGGCCATGTCCACTGCTAAGCAGGTAAGATGGAATACCATGGTTTTTATTTTTAAAGGAACCTTAATCTCTTTGCTCCACTTTTTGGCCTTTATTTATTTGGTTCTGAATATAACTATGGACATATTCAAAGGAAACTCAGAACAATATAGAGAGTGCTGATGGAAAAAGGAGATAAATGTGTTCGGAGGCAGAAGATCTGGACAAACTGGTGGAGGCAGAACTCAACGCCTTCCACCTCACAGCTAAGAGCAGCCCCAGACCCCCTTCTCAGGGAAAAGCGTATCTCAATTCTTGCTGTTCATCCCCCTCCCTGCCCCCATTCATATAGGGGAAGCAAATGGTTTAAATTTCAGTTCTTGCACAAAAAAGCAAAGCAAATTAACAACAAAATAAAAATAGTTGAATTTTGCATAAAGCTGTTCAGTTTAGCAGACAACAGAAAGCAAGAAGCCATGGCAGCACCGGTTCTGCCACACCCACCAGCCTCTAGGGGCACACAGCGTATCACCACTGGGGACAATCACCACCGGGGACCGTCACCGCCAGCGCTCCGCCCAAGAGCCACTGTTGAGAACTCTAAAACACAAGCCTAAAGTACATTTGCACAACAGCGGCCACGTGAGAAGGCGCTATATCCTCATCAGAATGCCTGGTTCCTGTACAGAGCCCGAAAATCCAACTAAAATTTTTATAGATAATTTTAGCACGTCTTATCATAGAAATAGTTGCATAATTTAAAACATAGACTGTTTCTCAGTCTTTACAAGGCCAAAGCAAGCCTGAAGCTCTGCTGAGCTGAAGACTCTATTTCTTTTTAAAAACTACAATGCCCTTCATCACAGGCCACATCATCACCTGAGAGGGCTACCGGTGCCCACACACGTGACAACCAGGAACCCACTGAAGGTGGCCTCCAGTGGGCAATTGGCCAGTGATGCTCAGCTGGCCACAGAGCTATGTGCACACATTGAGAGGAGAAAACACCTTCGCCACGACAGAAATGGTGCCACTAGTCTGGTGGCTTGATGTTTGCACAGCAACTGATTTTCAAACCTAAATCCTGAATCTCATTATCAGACTGAGGAAACCCAGTGTTCATGAAACCCAGAATAAAATGAAAAGTAGAAAAGGGAACACTTTTGGTGCTAATGTAGGAGGAGTGAAGGAATTACCAATTTCATTCGTGAAATGACTTCTTATTTAGTTCTAAAAGGATCTTAAAAATGAGATACTCACAATGCCGTGCTTCTACACGGACTTGAGTCGTGACCTGTCTCACACTGTGCATGGACAAGAGTGCTGCTGTAAAGGCCAAGTGACTCACTGAGGCTGGGCGTGCAGGTGTGGCCTCCTTGCTGTGTCTGTGTAGTGTATGTGTATATAGTTAAACATGTGAAATAGACATATGCAGACACGTGCCCACATATTTTGTAAAAGGAAATTCAGCTAAAACTATCGTGTTCGGTAGTTTTGAGAGTCTCATAACAAATTATATTTGAGCAAAGAGCAGTCACTGTTCCCCCAATGCAATGGGGTCAGCAGGGTGGGGCGAACAGACTAAAGAAATTGCTATTGATCTCAGCCAAGGCCACTCCATGCCTTGCATAGCAAATGGCCTCCACTGCCTGGCTGTTGTGGGTAATTAACGTGCCCTCACTGCCCTTATCTGGTGTCATCAGTCATCCTGGTGCTGTTCAATGCTATCAGGGGTGTTTGTTGTGGGTGCAGTTTTGTCAATAACTATCATTGGATGATAATTTTATAAATCATGATGTCACCTACCCGATCCAATTTACAAAATGTAAGCCTGACCTCTGATTGAGTCATTGTTAATAAGCCCTCGTGGTTCAACACAGATCCTGGTTCACTTGCTGCTGCAAAGAGCACGGGCTAGCTCTAATGAATGCTCCGCGTCACAGGATGTGCTTGGCACTGGCCCTGTCTTCCCAGGAGTCTGACTTCCCTCTGAATGTCAAGTTGTTCATCTGATCTAATAATAGGACATTGGGCTGCTGTGTGTAGTTCTCAGACAGTCATTTTATTTGCTCCTCAGAAACATTGGCACAAAATATAGTTCTGGAATAAACTCTGCAAATGTGCGTCAGAGGTAAGGCTGAGTGATTTTTGCACCGCCATTGCAGACTACCGTCAACATCTCTCCCTAGCTCGTGAGGCAACTTACGTTAGGTAGAAATATTACCTTTACCATAGTATGGCTTTTTGACATGGCTGTCACTGGACTTGGGCTTTCTGTCCTCCCCAGGCAGCTGTCTTGGAGACTGGTCCTCATAGGATCTCATATTGTCCCTCCGCCCAGCATCCATGGCCATCTTCTCCCGCATGGCCTTTGCCCTTTCACTCTCCAGGGCAATGGCTTTCTCCAGCAGGGTCAGGTTGCCCTTGGTCATGTCAAACACCTCCTCAGACCTGTCTGAGTTCACTGACGTTATGTCGTCATCCCTCTCTTGACACCCGTCCTCCTTCGCACAGCTGGAGAACGTTCTAGACCTGGGGCTCAGCTGCTCCTCCAGCCGCATGAGGTTGATCATGTCCGAGTAGCTCCTGTCCGGCGTCCTCCCCGGGAAGTCGTCCTCCTGTCGCACGTGCGGTCGCAGGGTCACGCTGGGAGGCTGGCTCCTCTCCTGCGGGTTGGTCTCGCTGAGCTTCCTGGCCAGGTCGAAGCACTGGTTCCTTAGACACTCGAGGCTGCTCAGACACACCTCCTCGTCGCTCTCCTCCACCACCTTCTCCATGAGCCCGTTGTTCATGGGCTTCCCCAGCATGACGTAGTTCATGTTTCTGCTGTCCTGCTGCGACGCACCGTCCACATAACCCCTGTCGTTGATGTTTTCCGAGAGCACCACGCCATGCCCCTGTGCTAACAGTTTAAGGGAGTCCACCGTTTCCCTAACGACATCACTGTCTAAGTCCAGACTGAGCTCGCTTTTGCGACCCAGGTTTTCGTTTTTGTCACTGTCGTCTTCCAGGCTATTGGAGGTATTGCTGTTCATTTCCGACTCAGTCCTGGCCCGGTACGCCGCGTCCTCAGCGATTTTGCCAAGATTCAGCAAAGACTTGGCCACCAGTTCGTCATAGTTCTCATACTCATCGTTGTTGTTGTCATCCTTTTCTGGGTCTTGCATTATTCGAGTGTTGTGACAATTCATTTGATGGTCTTCTGCAAAGAAAACAGAGAAGACAAAAGGAAAAGAAGAGAGAAGAGTGGCTAGAATTTGAAGTTTATTGCAGCAGCATGAACAGCAAGCTACCAGCAAGTCAAAGCCTGGTTAGCCTAGCACAGAGCCACAGGTCCTGTCTGCAGCTGGGAATAAGCTGTACTAAGGAAAGGAGGCCACTGAAAGTACTCACTGTCAGCTATTAGCTCCCGAGTCAATGTAAAAGGCAGGGAGATGCAGTGCACATAATGTTGAAATGTGCATCTGCACTTCTGAAGCGAGGGTGAGTTACTGTCTGCCTGGGCTTAATTTACAGGCTGGCAGTTGCCATACTGATGGGGCTCATCCTAAAACTGATTTCTAAGAGTTCACGAACTTTCTTTTTGCTAACTCTTAAACAGATGGTTGCAGCAATTGCTTTTAAATGGTTTATTTTTGCAGTCATACTTAGGCAAGACAGAAAACCTCAGACTTCTGGGGTTTACACAGGAAGCACCATGTTGTCATTACATGTTGGGGCTGAGAGGAGAGTTATTTTAAATCTGATACCTTCCAGACAACTCACTGTGACCTGTCGTGAAGCAACAGGAACTCCTCAGAGAAAGTGTGGGAGGAAGATCTGACTAGCTGTGCCTCCCGCACCCCTGTCTCCAGAGACTGGAGGCTGAGGGAGGGGAAAAGTACACAGAGGCCAAATATCTACAGAAAATCAGAACTGGGAGGGGTTGGTGTAAATGCACCTGCACCCCTGTCATGCATGGGTGTCGCATTCACTCAGAGAAATCTGAGTGAGCTGGGAGAAATAACGCATGAATGCTTATTCACGTGTAATCATTATGGAGTGTGTACTCAGTCTCAGAAAAGGCATTTAGAGAAACTCTTAAAAAACCCATGTTTAAGATGACATAAAACCATCTATTTTTTTCAGAAACCCACTTGGGTCTGGGATTTCTATTTCCACTTGCTACTCTCCATAACTGCTACCGAGTGAGATACAGTAGTAATACAGATAACATATAGCTACAAAGATAACAATATAGATAATAATCAATGGCTTCTCCCATGTACCCCCCCTCAGGTTGGATTTGGCTAACTCTGTGCCATTTCGCACCTGTTCTTTGTCTCCATGATTCAAATGCCAAAATTAGAACTTTTAACATTTACTGATGATCTCAAATTTGAAAGGTATATCGATGGGTAGTAAACACTAACTAGAGCTGACAGATCTAGACCTCTGGTGCTTTCAGTTTTTGTCAGTGGAAAAAAAAAGATTTGGAGCTCAATATAGCAATAACTGAAAGCAACATTCTTGCTATCCCACTTGCAGCCAACAAATACTCAAGATCTGACAACGCTCCCAAGCATCAGCCAGACCTATCCACCGTGGGAGAGTCAGAGAGCACCCCTAATCGCATGCAGCAGATATGCTAGCCTGGTTCCAGCTGTTAGGAACTAAGTCCACCCTGAGCCAATGATGTTTTGGAAATGTACGCATTCTATGTGCTTCTCACTTAGTGCATCTGCTATGTCTACAGGCTGTGATGGGAGCAGCCTCCTCGGATGTTCACTGCGGCTGTGCACAACAACTGTGGCCAGCACCATGGCGCCTATGGGAACCGACCAGGTGACGGGTTTATCGTCATGGTTTGAAGAAGAGAGAACATGATGAAAGAAGAAGTCACAGTCAGGCAGGATGTACTGGTTCCCTGATTTTCTCCTGGAGTTTGCCTACAGAACTCATCACGTGATCCTAGAGCAACTGAAGAAAGAGGAATTCATTGAAGGTGGTGAACAGACAGGCCCAGAAAAGCCTGCCTAATCCTTGCTGTCCAAAGGCACAGGGAAGCCTGCACTTGAAACAAGACAGTAGAGATTCCTGAAATGTAGCAGGAATGCGGTTGTGAACTCTTGGGGTTGTCTCCAGCTTACCTGCCTCTCCTGCCAGCTGCCTTATGTGACTGAGAAGCGCACTGCACCTTTTGACTACTGGATGTCTATTCATCTTGCCACCATGTTACCTCCTCCAAGAAGATGAAAAGAAAAATGGACAAGCCCTTCATGTGATTTCCCAGTCAGGCTGATGCATGAAGGTGACAAGGGGCTGAGAAGGGGGTCCCTTCCTGTGAGAACCCAGAGACCTCTGACTGCCTCCAGCGAACATCAGCCCAGATGCTGATGGAGACCGACAGGGGGAGCACACTGTGCACATTGCTTTGGTGGCCATGTGGGGATGAATACTAAATCCTAGGTTATGTTCTTGGACCTGTCACTGTTTGCTACTGATTGACTGTGTGATGCCAGTGACCTAAGCTTCCAGAGCTCCGAGGAGCTCATCTGGAACGTGGGGACACTAAAGCTGCTTGGAGCTCTCTTCCCATACAGGTTTCCTTGTCCTATGTGCCTGGCGCAGGCATGGCTAGTGTCATGGTGCATTCTCCTCCAGATGCTTGGGGAAGTGAGCCCATTGGTAAAGGAACCCTCAACAAGCAACACGACACACACAGATGCATAGATACCGCACGACTTGGCTTTTCTCAAGTTACTAATGCTTGGTGTCATTGAGACTTTGTGACCAGCAGCAAGAAACATGGGAATGGCTCAAGAAATGGCATGATGTGTGGCCAGAATTCCCTCCAGGTTAGCAGACGTTCTCAGGTTACCAGTGTGGAGCTATCTCAAAACGCATTTTAAGATGAGTAAACCTGTAGTACATGGACCAATGAAAAGAAACAGGCAGTCTGTCAATCCGCTACTCCACAACCCAGTTGCTCAGGATAAGTGTTAGAATGCCAGCTCTGCCTTACATATCAGGCAATTTACCCTTCTACTTAAGTCTTTGCTGGGGGTAACAATGAGATAAGGCACACGTAGATATGGGTTTTGGCAAATGCACCAGAATTTTCTGTGCCAGACAGAGATTAAAAAAGAGCTACAAACAATCCCCAGAATGAATAGTCCAGTCACCAATGTTTCAGGAGTCGGTGTTGTTGCTAGTTTCTATTTAGTGATTAATAGAATTCTATCAAAGAGCACTTCTTAAGGAAAATTAAAGTGCATGTTTATGTGCTAAGTAAGAGGGTGAGATTGTTTAGAGAGAGGTTCAAAGGGAAGGCCAAAGCCTTCCTCCCTTTTTGCAGCTTCACATCTGAAACCTGCCATCTACTGAGCTCCGAAGATCAGACATGGAATCACCTCTTAGGAGGTGCACCACAGAATTTCCACAGAAATTAAAGAAGTTTGGGTTCAGCCACTTCCAGGTAATGGAGCTGAGCCTGGAGCACAGGGGTGACTGGGGCTGAGCCCAGGTCACCTTCCTGTGCTTCATCAGCCAATCACCAAACTCATTTTGTTGCTATTACACATGCAGTTTTCATTCCCCTGTAAAATATTTTAGGTCTGAAGTACCTCTTTTGAAGTCTACAAACACAACCAGCCACAAGGTTTCCCGTGATCTCTAGAGGGTGCTTTGCTCCACCCTCAACCGAGGCTGTGTGAACAAACAGCGGAAACCCAAATCACAGCAGACCTCTCCAGGCTGAAGGAGGCATGGTCTGAGAGTGCACAGAGATGCCAAAGTATGAAAGACAGCTGCTTTTATGGCACTGAGTAGGTAATGCTTTTAAACTATGGAAATAAATTGGCATCAAAATATTATTTCCAACTTGTAAAAAGAGAAATTTGATAGTGTATTCAAAGATGGCAAAACAGTGATGGTGTTGTAATAGCAATTGCAGTGATAGAAGAGAAAAAGTGGCACATACTACACACACCATGTCACACGGACAGCAGTGCCATGTGTGATTAATAAGTGAAATTCCTAAGGGCAGAAAACAGTCTGGCCCATCCTGTCTTGTGTGGGGAGGTCGACCTGTCCCCATTAATGCTTACAGAGACCCTGTGAAAAACCCTCCAGGATTCTCCTCCTGAAAGGTGGCAGCACAGAGCCACAGGGCCAGTGACTTCTCAAGTCACCTGCAGTCAAATGGCAGAGCTGGGAGGCCATCCTGGGACACCTTACCCTTGTGCAGCACTACCTTTGTTTCCATAGCAACCAGACTGCTCAGTCTGCACTCACATGTTGCCTGGTGGGCCAGGTCCAGACTGACTAGATGTTCAGTAATTCCTTACTACAAGTGCAAATCTCTCTGCATGGCCATTCAGGTTTCTGCTGTTTTAGCATTCATCTTCTGGGTCTGTCTCCTTGTAATGCCCCTCATCGGCCTGGCATGGATTGAGGATGGATTTACATCACTAGACTTGTGCTGGGGTTGCCAGACTGGCTAGCCTGCTTCCCATCAGGGTTCTGATTAAAGCTTTGATCAATTCTGGTGTGGGAAATTAGGTAACTCTAGAGCAATATTCAAGATAACCCTGATCTGACCTGACACCTCCAGGTGTCAGGGAGTCATGAAGGAACTGGGCAGGTAGGAAGAGATGGAGGCAGGTAAGAACCAGGATGAAAATGTGCAGAAGGGACGGGAGGGACCTAAGGGCAGATGGTGACATCCTCATCATTCTGTTTCATGTAATACACCTGTGAATTCTTCAGACCAGACCAGGAACACAGCTTACCTCCTCTCCAGTCCTCCTTCACTGATCCCAGGGCCACCGTGAAATCTACCTGCCCTCTTATCACAGATATAGGAGCCCGCTGCTGCTCAGTGCAACGGCTCACAGAGGCCCAGCCTCTGAGCTTGTGGGGACAAGGCTGCCCTCCCCATGTCCTGTGTTCTGGTCACAGAGCTTTTCCTAAATCAGTCTGGGGATCCTAGTACCACACTCTGCCTCTCCCTCATCCTCAACTGAACAGCAAGCACTGAGCTGGAAGACCTCTCAGAGCCCTTAAACGCAAAAGTCTTCTAGATCAGCAAGATTGGAGGGGCTGGCAGGGGTGGGGCAGAGTGAGTGAGCGTGCCCTTGCGGCCAGAGGGTGCTACCCTGCTTCCTAGTTACACCTTTCCCCCAGCGTTGCTATCTGTCTCACTCCCACTGTCATGGGACA